AGGAGGAGGAGGAGGAGGAGGAGGAGGAGGAGGAGGAGGAGGAGAAAGATGTGGAGGAGGATTAAGATATCCTTGGTGCTCTTTGAGCTTGGTTCTTTTTTTGCAGATGTTTCATTACCCAACTAGTTAATATTATCAGTGCTAGTAGGGAGTGAGGTTTGCAAGGAGGAGGAGGAGGAGGACTGTGAGGTCCTTGGTGCTCTCTGATCTTGGTTCTTTTATTGCAGACGTTTTATTACCCAAACTAGGTAACATAATCAGTGCTAGAAGGAAGTGGAGTTTGCAGGGAGCAGGAGGGGGAAGAGGAGGAGGAGAAGGAGGAGGACTGGGGGTCCTTGGTGCTCTCAGTTTGGTTGTTTTTTTTTGCAGATGTTTCATTACCCAACTAGGTAACATCAGTGCTAGAAGGAAGTGGGGTTTGCAGGGAGGAGGAGGAGGAAGAGGAGGAGGAGGAGGAGGACTGTGGGGTCCTTGGTGCTCTCAGCTTGGTTGCTTTCTTGCAGATGTTTCATTACCCAACTAGGAAATATCATCAGTCCTATCTCTGAGTTGGAAAAGCTATAGTTGCCACTGCATTTTTTTTAATTTTTGCAAATATATTTTGGTTTCCAAGCATCAGAATTTTGATCACATGAGCATGGGGATGTGGCAATGGTCATTAAATGTGAAAAAATAGTCACAAGTCACTTTTAGCAGTGCCGTTGCCCCTTTGAATGCTGACTAAATGAACTGTTGTAAGTCCAGGACTGCCTCTAATCAAAACGATGTTGCAGAATAAACCATTACATCCAACCATGTCAAATATCCATTGAATGACTCCAGAAATAGCAACAATTGATGTTTAAGCAGGTGACAGTGATTCAGAGATGGCATTTGCAAGACAAGTAACAAAACAGAATAAATGAATCTAGTTTAATTTACTGTTTTCCTTCCATTCCTTAGTTCAGTATTTAAAGGTTCAGCAGTTTGTGTCTATCACTTATCTGACATTCAGCGAGTGTTCAATGGACCGTTTGCCCACAAGGAAGGACCAAACCATCAACTGATTCCCTATCAAGGAAGAATCCCTTATCCACGACCAGGGACTGTAAGTCTCCATAATTAACTTATCTTGTAAGATATTACTGAGCATAATCTGAAATTATATGCATCCATGTATTTACAAGTGTATAGATAAGATAATCTTTATTGTCACATTTTTCCTGTGGGACTCTGGCACACATTAAAAATAAAATTCTGCTGCTTGCTCTGAAAAGTGTACACATACATAACATCCATATAGACGTGCTATATACACACATATGTATAGGCCTACAGCCTGACATATAACTACATATAAATATGAATCGCTGTCCATCTTGAATATGTAGCAGAAAGAGGAAGGTTGGGAGTTCACAAAGTTGATGCTATATGGAAGAAAACTGGGGCTGAATCTGGATGTTCTGCTTCTACCACAAAGCCCCGTCCTAGAAGATAACAAGGAAAACAGGTAATGGAGAGGATGAGTAGCATCCTTGATGATACTACAGACCATACTCAAGCATCGTATCATGCCCCTGTCAGAGTATGAATCCGAGGAGGAAGATGAACAGCTGACAGGGAGTGGGAGTGTGGTTCCATTGGCTGTGAAGGAAACTGGGGAAGGGCAAAGTCCAGCTGGGTAGAGCAGGGGAGAGGTAGGACAAGGGAGAGGGAGTTCAGAGGAAAACCCAGGCCCACCCCCCTCTTCATCCTAGGACACGCAGGGAAGAATGGAGGAGAGAGCAACATGGGTTGCATGGTTTACGGGGGAGGAAAGGGCCCTGATTCCCTTCATTAGGCACACCTGGGAACAGAGTTTAAAGGAGAGGCAGCTGAGAGCGGCGTTTACTGGGAACAAATGTGAGTTTATCTTGTGTTGACTGTGGTTATCTGTCTTCCTGGCATCCTCCCAACTGGGTTGATTTACTGCCATTCCTTCACTTCTTGAATTCCTTTTCTTGCCCTGCTGGATTAATTACCTCCTCTTGCCCTGATTGGACTTATAGTTAAAGTTTTTGTTGACAATGTTTTGGACTTGAATCTCTGCAGCCAAAGGCTGTTCCTGGGAGAGTTTTTCTCTAGCCCAGAAGGTAACCAAGACATTTGGGGCAAAGTTGGAGCTAATAAAGGGATTCCTACTGATTATCTGACTGTGTTGCCTTTGTGCCATGCTCCGGGTCATCACACATCGCTTCTATGCTATGTCCTGGATAGAAGGGAGCAAACTTCCAATAATCATTTCTGCTGTCCTTACCACTCTGCACTGCCTTCCTGTCTGAAAGAGTAGTACCTCCAAACCACACAGTGATAAAATACAACAGATGCTCTCAATTGTCCCTCTATAGAAAGTGGTGAGGACAGTGGAAAGAAGGTGCACTTTTCTCATGTAACTCAGAAAATGTAGGCACTGCTGTGCCCGCTTCACTAGTGTCTCACTGTTGAGTGACCAAGCTAGCCTACTGTATGTGTGCCTGTTTTTATGTGCCCATTATTTCAACAAACTGGCAGGAGTTAAGTGGGAATTCAATACATTTGATACCTGAAAAGACTAATGGATCTGTAATATATTAAATGCAGAAGGAAGATTATAGTTTTAAAAAAACTGGTCATAAAATGGAGCCCTAGAAGAAGCCACCCCATGTCAGATAAAAAAAATGTCACTACCAATATTTATGGGGCCAAACTGTTGCTGATTTGTGTTGTGTTGAATGCTTCCATGCACATAGCTTACCCGGCATGTGAAAAACAGATTGTGTGAGACATCCTTGGGGTTGGCTGAAATTTATGTCTCCAATTATTCAGATGGGTCAAGATGGCTCAGTGGTTAAAGATGCTGAGTTTGTTGGCTGGAAAACTGATACCCCGGGTTCGAGACCCGAGCTCCATATAATGGTTGAGCTCCCGTCCTTGCTCTAGCTTCTCCCAACCTAGCAGTTCGAAAGCATGCAAATGCAAGTAGATTAATAGGTACCACTTCAATAGAAAGGTAACAACATTCTGTGTACCTCAGTATATAGCCAAGATGACTACATGACCATGGAAAATGTCTTCAGACAATGCTGGCTTCCTCGGCCAAGAAATGGCGATCAGCAACCGCCCTAAAGTTGGACACAACAGGACAGGGAAAACAGGATAAAACACACAATGAATGGTTGCAGGAACTTGGCATGGCTAGCAGTGGTGGGATTCAATTTTTTTTTACTACTGGTTCTGTGGGCGTGGCTTGGTGGGTGTGGTAGGGGAAAGATACTGTAAAATCTCCAGTCAGAGGTGGTATTTGCCAGTTCTGTGAACTATTCAAAATTTCTGCTACCAGTTCTCCAGAACTGGTCAGAACCTGCTGAAGACCACCTCTGATGGCTAGTCTAGTGAAGAGAAGGACCAGGGGAGACATGAGACCAAGTCTTCCAATATTTGAGGGGCTGCCACAAAGAGGAGGAGGGGGTCAAGCTATTCTCCAAAGCACCAAAGACAAGGAATAATGGATGGAAACTGAAGAAGGAGAGATTCAACCTGGAAATAAGGAGAAACTTTCTGACAGTGAGAACAATCAACCCATGGAATAGAAGTTGCCTTCAGAAGTTGTGGGAGCTTCATCCCTGGAAGCTTTCAAAAAGAGTTTGGACTGCCATCTGTCAGAAATGGTGTAGGGTCTCCTGCTTGGGTGGGGGGTTGGACTAGATGACCTACAAGGTCCCTTCCAACTCTGTTAATCTGTATCTACTACCTGTGCAACAAATCTTCCCTATCATTTTAAACTCAATAACCTGCCTTTGTTTTTCTTAGGCTCTAAGGGAATGTCCAAGAACAGTTTAGGTATATCAGATGAAAAAACCTCCAGCAACCTTGTTAGCAGACATCAATCGTCCAGTCGATTAGCAAGGAGAGCTTTGCTGGAGAATTTTTACCCAAAGTACAATGGCCGCTAATGGCACAAAAGGATTAAAATGATTTGATTAGCTCAGGCAGATTTTATTCCTTCTTTTTTTGTGAGGCGAGGAGGGAATCTCAGGGACAAACAGTAGAAAATCCAAGTGAAATATAATTCCCTTTTGTCTCAACCTGAGCAGTCCAGTAACACTTGAAGATAAATGAATGTATACACTGGGGGTTCTAAGAGATAAAAGCGGAATAAAAGATAATGGTAATTCAGTTGCTTGGCTTGCATACCAGCGATTAATTGCTTTTATAGTGTTTTTGCAAGGGTATAAATGCAGTGGAACATTTTATAGGGATATTTTATGAGCCTGAAATTGGTTGTATATCTTTTTTTTTTTTTTTTTGGAGGGAGGGCTTCCCATAGATATTTGCTTGGCCACAAAATCCTTTGGTCTCAACTACATGACCTCTTATGGGCTTGAACAACTTAATTTGCACATTAAAAAAAATTAGTTTAGTCCAGAAAAAGACTAACACTGCCTTCCAAACCATGTGGATCTCATTGAAAACAATGAGATTCATAAGATATATTTAAGTGGATGGCTGGAACATTTTTATGCACACAATTTAGTAGTGATTTAAATAATAATAATCACAGATAGGCAGACCAATACATCATATACCACACTTGGAGTACTGCATCCAGTTCTGGTCACCACAATATAATGAAGATAAAATAAAATATTTTTTTAAAAAATAGTAGTTGTCTAACAAAAGCATTTGATGATACCCAAAGCATACTACAGGGGAAAAATATGGTTTTAGTTACATCTATATAAGAAAGAAAGAAAGAAAGAAAGAAAGAAAGAAAGAAAGAAAGAAAGAAAGAAAGAAAGAAAGAAAGAAAGAAAGAAAGAAAGAGGAAGGAGATAAAGAAAGAGAGAGAGAGAAAGAGAAAAAAGAAAGAAAGAAAGAGGAAGGAAGGAGATAAAGAAAGAGCAAGAGAGAAAGGAAGAAAGAAGGAAGGAAGGAAGGAAAGAAAGAAAGGATCTATTTCACATTTATGTTTTCAACATTTCATTGCAAGTTATTTGTAGTCAGGTGAAAACTTTGATCTAGAGATTTCTTGGTTTAGAACTTCAGCCTTGGTATAGATTAGAAATAAGCATTTAATCTTTTCCAAAAATATAGCACCGTTGATTTCCTTTTAAATGTCACTATGGTATGTTTTTCTTGTGGCCTCTATATTTTGGAATAGAATTGTGGATTAGCTGGGCCTTGATCTTATTTGCTTAAGGCAGCCATTTCAGAAATAGTTCAAATGAAACAGAGTAAGGTTAAGTAACATTATATATTCATTTAGCAACACTAGAGGCCTTGACAGCTGGGCAGATATCTTTGCCATGGTCAACTGTGAGTTATAGAAAAGCTTCATGAGGTAATGTATGGATACATGCTGGTTGGAGACTGTGTCTTAAATCTCCTTTGTCATGTGGAGTTCGACACACAAATCATTATCTGGAGTTACACCATGTTGTGGATAAATTATGAGTCTTACATCATCACATCTGTAAAACAGTAGCCTTGAGATTGAATGGCAAGGAAAGAAGAATATTATATACAATATATATATACAATATATACATAACAACATGGGAAGGGAAGGGAAGAGAACAGAAGAAAAGAGAAGAGGAGGAGAGGAAAGGAGAGAAGAAAAGAGAAGATGATAAGAGAAGAGAAGAGAAGATGGTGAGATGAGATGAAAAGAGAGGAGATGAGGAGAGGAGAGGGAAGAGAAGAGAAGATGATAAGATGAGAGGAGAGGAGAGAAGAGAAGATGATGAGATGAGATGAAAAGAGGAGAAG